GAAGGCTGTAGTTGCTGCTCGTGAGAGAGGACAGTGACAACAGGAAGGGCTCCAGCAGGTCCTGAGCCTAGGGAGCTGGGGGTTTGCACAGGAGTGGTCTGCAGCCCTGACACTGCCCTTGGCATGGCCATTTCTGCCCTAGACTCCCCATGCCTCCCACTTCGTCTCTTCCTCCTTTCCTCTTCTACATTCCTCATCAGGAGTATTCTTTCTGTTCTGGTTTCTCTGTCTTTCAGCCTCTCTCTTGTTATTCTCTTATCTAAATGTGAAATCTTTGTAGATATCTGAAAAGGAGCTTCAGCACTGTCCCAAGTCCCTGGGCTGTTCCAGGGAAGGTGGTGGTCAAGGTGGGAGCAGGGGTGGAAGTGATGGAGGTAGGTCCTGATTTCTCTGCATTTACCTGTCCCTCTCCCCCAGGGAATGCCATCCAGGCCTTTGGCAATGGCACAGATGTGAATGTGTCCCCTAAAGGCCCCTCATTCCAGGCCACCCAGGCCCCACGGGTGGAGAAGAATCCTTCTTTGCCAGATGACCTCAGTGATAGCACCAGTCTGGGGACCAGTGTCATGGCCACCTGCACGTCTGTCCAGGTGAGGGGTCGGGGCTGAGGGTCTGGGGAAGCACCATGATACTGGAGGTGGGGTGGGAAATGGGTAAACTGGGGCCGGGCAGGGAGCACTGAAGGTCATCTCTTCATATCAGGGGCCCAAGAGGCAAGGAGGAGCTGGTGGGAGTAGTTTTTCACCTATTCATGTATTTAGGAATGCATCTTGCAAGTATTAAACATGTGTTACATCACAGTATTGTATTAAATACCATGGGGATACAAGAGAAATTTTATGGTTACCGTTTACTAACCATCTGCTAACTACCAAGTAGTATGCTAGTAGACTCTCCACCTATCTCATTGAAATCTCACACACTGAGGTATTAGTATTCTTGTTTTACACACAGAAAACTGACCTAGAGGGGTTAGTTGACATACCCAAGATCACACAGCTGGCTGGTGGTGGAATAAGATTTCACACCTTCATCTGACTCCAAAGCCCATAGTATTTGTTTGTCCATCCT